CTGAATATTAAAATTATACATAATGTATATATGAACAATATTCAAATACAAAGCATTAGCGGGCCGCACAAAATATTACTCGGAAAAATATAGAATTCTTCAAATATTAAATAGATATCAATACACATACAAATATAAAGCCGAATAATAAAATACTACCATTGGCATTGAATCAATGTACAGTAATACTTGTACTATGTGCGAGTATTACTGAATATTTGAAGCTATTACTAAAATACGGTCAGATAGGTTGGGATTTGGAATACCGAATACGTCTAAAATTTTACTAACTGTGGTCTAAAATGATACGTGAGCATGTATTTATTAATTTCTTCGAAATCACGAGTGTGCCAATAGTGGAATCATAGTGGTGCATGGAAGCCATATCGACGACGAAATTGTCAGCAGTTTATACAGTAAATAGTACAGCGTTTAATGTACGATATATATTTATATCTAAATGACATGCCAGCGAGGATCAACAATATAATTATTCGTACATATTTGGGTATCTTTTGTATACCTTCGCTTGCTGACTTGCTCACTAATGAGAATAATCTGTGAAGCCACGACGACCTCAAAATGTACTATACAATAGTCTGATGTCAATCCGAAGACGAAGTTCAGAATACTGTTATTTTATTATAGTTTCGTATATTGGATTTAAGCGATAGATTTAAGTCATTTATGATAGACTTTTTACTGTGATGCTTTGCTATTGCTTTTGGTTTCTATTTCTAGTTTTATTTGTTCGATAGTCTTATAATATATAATATTAAAATGAATAAAGTTCAAATTCTTCAAAATGCTGTTGTTGACATTTGCTATTTTTAGTAATTTTGTCAACGAGTGTAAGCCAATCAGAAGCCTGCGTTTCTATACGAACGCCACTACCAAGAAAACCTATAGTTCCGTGCAGGCCCTCTATCCTTTGCGCCGCCCGTAACCCAGGGCCTGTTCGTAGGCTAGATCACCTTTAAAGATTTTTTTTACGAGTTTAATGATTTCGCAGTTTGTATGATTGTTTATAAATTTTCTGTGAGAAACACTAACATTGTTTTTGGCTTAAGCTGTACTCGCTTTGCTTTCGCTGTACACAGTTTTGCCCACTTACAGTACTGTTTTTATGCTAAATGTAAGTTGCCCACATGCTTGCTACTTGAATCTGCATACATGTATGCTGTCAGACAAGTGTTTTCTAAACTTCACTGCACATTGATTGCCGGAAAAAAGGGAATTAAGTTGTCCAGTTAACGTTTGATGTTTTCGATATGCGATGTTTTCGATATTTTTGAAATGATCTATATTATTGAAAATATCAATATTTCGCATCAGCTAGGCCTCAGTACTCTCCCCTTGAGGGGAGGGCACATTTAGGCCACAATGCAACTTATTGGGTTAAATGGTCTGTAATAGGGGTGGGAATTGATTCTGGAACAAACTTTGTGGAAATTTATTTGTTGATGGTCCCATAGGGACTAAGCACCAAATAATGAAGAAAAACTTGCTGCATGAATGAATGCATATTGCAAAATACATGAATAATTATTGTTTAATTTATTCCGTTCATACAATGACGAAAGTGGGCAATATGGTTGTGCAGCTGTGCAAGGCTGTGTGAATATCTAAAGAGCCCTGCCATGTTCAGCATTATGAATGTGTAGCACCTCACAGCTTGGAGCATTACTGCCATATTTGATCACAAATTCGCTTCTCAAATGGCATTACTAATAGTTACAAAATGTTAGTTAGGGGTGCCGGAAACAATGTGAAGCCATTTAAAAAGACTTTACTTCTGAGCCCTAATTGTTGTAAGCATCAATGTTTGTTAAAATTTTGCTGTACGGATAGTTGGACAAATAATTTTCGGCATTGATTGGAACAATTTTATTTGTTGCATGGTACTACAGTCAGACTAAAATGCATTGTACTGTATATAAAACAATGTGATAGTTTGTCTATTATTATCAAAGTTTCTGTGATCACAGTAGGAATTTTGCATCGTTAGGTAAATTCATAGTTTTACATGATTTGTAAAAGTTACATTGGAGGGAAATGATAATTCGGTTCCCTCAAACATTGCTTACAAATCCTTCAAAACCTAGAAATTACAAATGCAAAATACCTGCTGTGATCGCTGAAACTTTGATAGTGAAACCAAATTAAGGTACCTGTATAGGAACATAAACAAATTTATAATCAAAATGCAGCCATTAATGATTTTTTTCTACAAGTTAGACATTGTAGAAAAGTAAAGGCTTTATTGATTGCCTATAGGATTGGTGTGTTCAGGCTGCTTCAATAAATAGCATTGCCCAAAAATACCATCACATAACTATAAGCATAACAATTAATATATGATGGCCAGCACACATTTGAATAGGCAATTCCAGCTTTTAGTTTATGCGTGCAGGGGATGATGGGAAGTAAGGTATAATATTGCTGATTATGCTGAAAATTTTCAATAAAAACTGCCAAAACAACCGAAATATTTCAATATTTACAACTATAAGCTATCACGCCGTGTTTATCAGGCCACCATTTTTATTTTTTCAGCATAATCAGCAATATGACACCTTACTTCCCATCATCCCCTGCACGCATAAACTAAAAGCTGGAATTGCCTATTATTAAATTGTTTATCATAACTCATATGATTAAAAAAGACATCTAATTTCTTACCCAAGCCTAGGCTGTTCATCGCCTATTAAATTTTCTGTTTCACAATGCGATGGCCCAATACTTTAAATAATACCCCTACTTGAAACATTGGGCTATAGCTCGACAGCTATAAGTTAATTATATTATTGAACCGATGACATCGATATTTTCTATGCCGAAAAGTTACGAAATATTAACCAAAACAGACATATATAGTACTACAGTGCAGTGCCCCGGTACCGTGCATGCGCAAAACAACTGCACCACAAACGCGAACACATACTATTTTGAACACATATTAAGACTGTCTGTACCAGTGTAGGTAGTACTAATGTAAAAATGCTCTGCTGAGTGGTTATATTACTTACAGCACAGTATTTTGAACACACTATCCCAACAAACTAACCGACTAACAAATTTTACTAACAAACTCACGCAACGAATTATAAAGCGATTCGAAACATTTTCATGGCACCGCAATTTTTGCCACCTGAAGACTTCAAGACATGAACTGAACCCGATGTATAAAAAAGCATTCTTTTGAAAGTATTACAGTAATTGATCAAGTGTTAACCGCGCCATAAAAAAATGAACATAAATCGATATTTCGGTATGTCGATACCAATTTTTAAAAATGCATGCATGCAATTATATTGAATATTTGATATTTTTAAGAAACCTATACATTTATCGATATATCGATATACCGCAACAGCCTAGTATAGGCAGTATATGTAATTTAAATTATAATGAGCATCGGTAGAAACGTTTAAGATGAGAATAGTTTTTCAAGTGCTACAAAATATGACAGGTGAATTTGCCCAATACTTAATGAATGCCCAATATACTTTCGCCGCGTCTTAAAAAAATATACCGAACATAAATCGATATTTCTGTATGTCGATATTTCTGTATGTCGATATTTTTAAAAATGCATATTTAGCGATTTTTTGATATACCGCAACAGCCTAGACAGTATATTAATTTGGTGTATTTGTTTCACTTTTATGCATGCTGAAAGCAATATAGCCTATCACATCACATGTCACTAAGGCAATGTCATTTAATGTCTCTTTTTTGCATGAATAAAAAATTGTTTCACAAATTAAAGTACTATGTCACAGGGAACCTTACTGTGGGTTTAATACTTTGGTGAACTATATACTGCACTGTATACAACAGTATTTTTGTTTAATTAATTAAATTATAATGAAGCGTCGGTAGAAACGTTTAAGATGAGAATATGTTTTTCAAATGCTACGAAAGATGACAGGTGAATTTGCCCAATATACTTATAACCCTTTAAGCGGCAGTGTAGCAGATCTGCTACAAATAGAAAAGTGCGCGAATTTTTCGCAGTCTGGGTCTAGTTTCTTCTTTTACCCACAATGCAATACAGCCCACGTTGTTGACATTGTTGTAATGGCGAAAATTTTTACCAAAGTGGCTTTTAGACCGAGAAAATGATGTCCAAATCACAGTGATTTCGGTAAGTTTTAAAGCTCTAAGTTCGTGACAATGTTCTATCTTTGTAAAGCGCTCTAGGGTATAAGTTTTAGTATATTATAATTTGACATAAGGCAGTCTTTTCATATCGTATTTGTGTGTTTGTATAAATTCGTTTGTGTGTATTGAATAATTTCATAAAGATATTTGTAGCATATCTGCTACATTGCCGCGAAGTGGTCACTGAAGCTCAGATTACATGAACATTATATTTTTAATAAAAGACACAACATGTGCTGTATTTTACTGCAATTTCCTTTGAATATAGTTGCAACAAGTAAATATTTCTTTTGTCTTCAGTATTGGGTCTCTTGGCTGCAGGTTAAACCAGTTGAACATTCTATTCTACCCTGTTTTATAGTGTTTATGTATATATGCTCATACTGTGTATATACTATGTATTAGTAAAACTATTGTAAGCTTGATTTTATCTCTTTTCATCATGTTCATGAG